TAGACGCTGTGCACACGAGCTGCGTGTGAAAAGTCGTGCCAGTAATTGTAGTATCGTGAGCAAAGTCTTAAAGTTAGAAACGTGCAAGCCTTGAAACGTTTCTGGTATGAAGTGTTTCAAGCGTAGGTTGAGTTTGATCGTCTGGGTGAACGTAGTCCTGAATAGGACTGTTGCTGTTGACAGTGACTGACGTTTCGACAACCTGTGCGGTAGTCATCTTCAGAGTCAAAGTGAGTTGTATCACGTCAGTTGATGGTATTATACTCTGGTTATTGATTTGATTGGTCAATTACGTCGTGATGTCATTGGTCGTCTGTCAGTTAAGCCGTGATGTTATTGGCTATGAAGACTCGTAATCAGTAATTGGTGCGTTTCGATCTGTCTGTTGTCACAGTTAAGCAGTCGTCTATTGTTAATCAAATTGTCATTCTCTCGTAGTTAGTTTTGCTTGATCTCGTCAATAAGTCGTTTGTACGGCGCTGGTAACTGTTGGCTACGATTCAGTGGCGTTTGTTCTAAGTTAGTAAACCAGCTTTCTAAAGTGAGACGTTGATAGCAGTCTGTAGAATACCTTATACATGTCGCAGAGTCCCAGTCAATTTGATGTTTCGTCTTTAAATGGTGCTCAGCAATGTGATTGTTGACGTCAGCATTCCTCGTCGCGCGTTTGTGTTTGGTCAGCCGCGTGCTTAGGTTTCTGCCGGTTTCACCAATGTAAGAAGCCTGGCAGTCGCAGCATTTGATCTTGTATACTGCTCCCTGTCTGTCCTCCGGTTTGTCTTTGTCCTTGACATTAGCAAGCAGTTGCCGTAAAGTGGTTATCGGTTTGTGCGCAACACGTATATTGTAACGTTGTAATATACGTGCAATAGTTTCAGAGGTGCCTCTGATGTACGGTATAGTCGCTGTCATAACAGGGCAAGAGTTGGTCTGAGTGCTGGAATCAGTGTTACTGTGAGTGTTCCGTCGAACAAAGTCCGTGTTGTAATTGTTCTTACTAAAAACGTAGTTAAGATAATCAGTCTCGTCTTGTAGGCTGTCAGGTGAGTAGCAAACCAGTTGCGCTCGTCTCGTCAGAGTCCGGGTAGTAGTAGCCTTGTGAGAGGTCGGGTTATACGAAGACTGGTCTAGTAATCGATCGGTATGTGTCGGTTTTCTGTAAAAAGTCGTTTTTAGTTTGTTGTTGTCGCGAGTGACTAAGCAGTCTAGAAAAGGTATCTTACCGTTTTCTTCGATCTCCTTGGTGAACTGTATGTCCGCGTTCTGTCTGTTAAGGTGTTTGTGAAAATCGTTGATTCCGTCTTGTGGACGGCGGTGAATGTGTCGTCAACGCAACGTAACCAAAGAGGTACAGTTCGCGTGTGGGTAGCTAGGGCTTGTTCCTCGATGTTTTGCATGACAATTTCTGCTACAACAAGAGAAACTGGAGAGCCCATAACTGTACCGTGTAACTGTTTGTAGTGTTTGCCGTTGTGCTGAAAGTACGTCGAAGTCAAACAGAGGTTGAGTAGGTCCATAATGTCGCTTGTAGGTAGTGGTAGTTCAACAGTAGAGTTCTTAATAGCGTTCTCAGTACACTCTAGAGCCAGTTGAAGTGGAATACTGGTGAACAGCGATTTCACGCCAAAGGACACTAGTTTGTGGTCGTCCGGTGTCTTTATTGTCTTAATGACGTCAATAAAGTTCTCAGTAGACTGAGTAGACTCAGTAGACTGAAGAGAATGTAACTTAGCTCGATGGACGTATATCAACAATATGGCCTCTGATATTGCAGTTTCTGGTAATTCCAAGCCTTTCTGGAATTATATTAAAAGCAAACGTAACGGTACGAATACTCTGGTATCTTTAAAGGTTGGTGACAAAGAACTGATTGACGATGAGAGTATTGCTAGTAGTTTTAATTCCTATTTTTCATCTGTTTTTACCTCTGAGGACTTCACCAACTTGCCTTCTTTAGAGCCTTTAGTTTGTGAGAAACTTAATCATATTTCCTGTACTACTGAGGAAATTTTAAAGCATCTTAAGTCTCTTAAAACGAACAAGTCCCCGGGTCCAGATAGAATTTCACCAGTAATTTTAAAATCATGTGCGTTCGAATTGGCGCCCTCGATCTCATTTCTGGTTAACAAATTAATCTTTCCTGCTGGGCCATTTGCCCGAAGATTGGAGATCAGCTGACATTGTCCCACTTCATAAGAAAGGTTCTAAACACTTGAGGGAGAATTATCGTCCTATTTCGCTTACATCAATGATATGCAAAATCAGCGACAAAATTGTACGCGATAGGTTAACGTCATTTTAGCAAGACCAAAACGTGATAAACAAAAACCAATTTGGTTTTTTGCAGGGTAGGTCTACTGTGACCCAATTACTCTCCACTTTTCATGACTTCGCCAGATCTAGGAATTCATCTGGTGCAACAGATGTTGTATTTCTTGATCTCGCAAAGGCCTTTGATAGTGTTCCTCATGAGCGTCTACTCATAAAGTTATATAGCCTCGGTATTGAGAGCAAACTTCTTAACTGGTTGAGGCATTTCCTCACGTGTAGAAAGCAACGAGTTGTTGTAAGAGGGACTTTTTCTGATTGGGCACCTGTGATATCTGGTACCCCACAGGGAACTATTCTTGGTCCAATTTTATTCCTAGCATATATAAATGATATCTTTGATAGTGCATGTCTCTTCAAAAATTAAATTATTTGCGGATGACATAAAGATTTACAGAGAGCTTCGCAACCCTAGTCTCGATGAACAATACCTTCAAACTGATTTGAATAATCTTGGTAAATGGGCGAAAAAATGGCAACTTCGTTTCAATGAGGAAAAGTGTGAAGCAATGCGAATAACGCATTCTCGTGACAAATCGACTACGAATTATAAACTAGATACGACCTTGAAAGATGTCAAGAGCTTTAAAGATCTTGGAATTATTATATCAAAAGATCTTACTTGGAGTGAACATATTAGTACTATGGTGAATAAGGCGAAGCAAGTCCTAGGGCTAAGAAGACGGTCTGTTGGAACAGCTAATACAACAACTTTTTCATTGCTTTACAAAACATTGGTCAGATCACTTTTAGAGTATGCTGCTCCAGTCTGGAACCCATATCTTGTCGAAGATATTCATGCAATAGAGAGCATGCAAAGACGTGCGTCAAGATTAGCTCTTAGGCAAAAAAGAGGTGATATGTCTTATGAAGAGCGTTGTGACTCGTTACATTGGCCATCTTTGTCCAGTCGTAGGACATATTCCTCTCTTGTTGAATGTTATAAGATCGTGTTTGGCTTATCACACTTGGATTTTGAGGAATTCTTTCAATTCTCAAAAGTCAAATCCACTAGGGCAAATCACTGGTATAAGCTTTATTGTAAATTATCTAGAATCAACTGTTTTACATATTCTTTTTTTAACAATGTAATTAGTTATTGAAACAATTTACGTTGTAATGTTGTTGAAGCCGGTTCCCTTGAACTTTTTAAATGTAAACTCAAATCCTTTTTAAAGTTGTAATTTTTATTGTTTGTTTGTTGTTTTTAGGAGAGTTTTATTCATAGGGTCAACCTCTAGACTCTCCCTTTCAAATTCATGTAGTTATTATGAGTTTGAATAAACATGTATGTATGTATGTATGTATGTATGTATGTATGTGTGTATGTGTGTGTGTGTGTGTGTGTATGTATGTATGTATGTACGTATGACTGTAGTTTGTGTCTAGATTCAGTCAGCGGTTTCAGTACGTTAGTTAAGTATTTAGACAGTTGGTAGGTTGGGGACCAACAGAAAGAAACTGTTTTGTTTCGTTTTTGGTTTATGATGGATGAACCAATGGCTAAGGGGATACTAGCGCCGCCGTCGCTTTGAACTTCATTTCGACGATTTATGACAAACGGAAAATATGAACTAACATCCCCTACGAATTGCCATATCACTTAAGAATCGTTCCTAAAATATGGCCAAAGTACGTGTCTTTAACCACAAAAGTTGTTTTCGCATTGCGGAATACACGAGTCATAGCAAAAATTTGTTTCCGCGAAACGTAAACCGGTAAAGCACGAAATAAACTCCCGCTTAATTTTCACGCCAGAAGGCATTCCTCAATTGCTTTTAATCTTCTAGTAAAAGTGAACCCGAACTCGCACAAATAAACCTTCTCAAAGGTAGCTTATATCCGTGCCACCTGTCAAACAGGAAAGCCGGAATTCAGAATGAATAATCGAAATCAGTGATCAATAGACAAATTTTAGCTTTATATCGTCTATTAAGAAGAAAAACGAAAACGAAACGCTGATAAAGACAGCTGCTGATATTCGTATTGATAAAAGTGTTTGATTTCGATTTCTCAGTATTACCAGCCCATCAGATTTTGCACCCCCTTCCCACTACCACTCACTACCCACCACCCCAGCCCCCCTCCCCATCGAACGCACTCCGCTAATTTGCAATTATTACACTAGTTTATTGTTTATTGTTTGCCATAATATTTACAGAGCAAGAAATAAGTTCTTAAATATTAAAAACGCTAATGTCGAGTAAGCCCAAGGTAGGCGACTGGGCTTGTAAAAAATAAACTCCCTCAGTTAATTATTCTAACGAGGTAAAAAGAACATTATTTATTTGTTCGCTCCAGTTACAGGTGAGGTGGTCTTTTCATTATTATTATCTTAACTGATGTATCACTTGCCATAAATAAGACTAAATATACCTCATTCCCATTTTGCGATAGATCAATGCAAGATTAACTTCATCTTTATTCATGTCAACATTATTTGGAGTGCTCGGTAAAACGCTCGTCAACGCGGTTTGTTGGAAAACGGAGACTGACTCCTTTTATTAATATTGCTTCTGAATCATTTTGTTGTTTTATCTTTCTCATATATGTTTTCCTTTTCTGAGTTACTGCTCCTAGTTGCATTAACATGCTGTTTTGTTTGTATTCTTTAAAGGTAAAATTACTGTAGAAAAGAGGGATACCAACGGTCAACGTAACACTTCTTGAGGATGGAAAAAAGCTGGAACTTTTCAAATGAGACTTGTAGAATTGTTTCTGAAAAAGAAAAAAGAGCCTGGTTTGCAGCTTTCGTCATCGAGTTTATTGTCATCTTTATACTGAATGCTTTCACTCTTGCCATCTACACAAGAAACCGTCACTTACGCAAGCCCAGTACGTACCTGATAATAAATCTGACTGTGGCTGATTTACTGGTGGGAACAGTGACCGGCTCTTCGATGTCATTCGAACTACATAACCTGGAGACGGATCTGGTACTGGAACAAGATTTTAGCTGGCAATCATTCGTGCAATTCACATTACAGGAGCTTTTTTCGGTTGCTTCTTTAGCTAATATTTCATTGATTTCTTTAGAGAGGTTACACGCAACACTTTTTCCCTTTAGGCATTGTCTTGTTGGAAAAAGGGTTTACCTAATCATTATTTTGTGTAGTTGGTTGTTCTCCTTGATTTTGTCATCCGTGTTTGTTCTTCTTCATTTGCACGCATCGCCGTCTTTACTGTATGTCTATGCACCTTACTATTTTCTGATCATTCTCACTGTCACAGTTTCATATGCTATAATCATCTCAACTGTAAAAAACAAGCCTCTCTCCCCCAATGCTGGACCAGTTCTTTCAACAGAGAGGAAACTAACGGTGACTTTATTTATAGTTACTGTGGCTTCTCTTCTGGCCATTCTTCCTTGGGTTATTTGGAATGTTATCGCCAATCACATGGGAAGTAAATTAAGTAATGCAGTCCTTTTCCGTATCAGTAAGTCGTTTTTAACACTATGTCTTTTCAATTCTATAGTAAATCCCCTAATATATGCAGTAAGAATGCAAGAGTTTAGGAAGGCAGCAAGGAAACTTTTTTTACTAACACACTAGAATCAACGCGGGCTAAACCCAGTGAAGTTCTTACATTAGGTGTACCACGCTATAACTGTAAAGAACGAAGGTAAGAAATGGGAGATCTCCTTAGAAAAACTCTAACGAGCTTGCTGATGCCTTCTTGCCACTAGATATCATTTGTAATCTTAAGTGTAAGACAGACATGAGTGGCCAAAGAAAAAAAGGTAAAAAGAAAAGAAAAGCAAACATTTATGATTAAAAAAATAATAAGCGTACTGCCGTGATAGACATTGTTGGAAAACAAAATATAACATTTAACTTGACCTTTCGTTCAACATTAAACTTCTGGAGCAAATATTTTGGCTGCAACTTTTGCATTTCCTTACGCATGTATGTCTCAATGCTCACTGTCTCTTTGCTGTAATTATTTCAAATGTCGAATATAATTCTCATTTCAGAGTGATGGTTTACCATCTTTCAGCCGATGATCACAATCAGCATTTAAAAGGGAATGTGAAGAAAACCATGGCAAATGACAAATTATCTTAAAGACGCAAAATTGTGTCAAAATTAAAAAGTTATTTCGCATGCCTTAAGTCTCACTCGGTTTTAGTTTTATGAGAATCATGTACCATGCTCCGAGGTATACGTAGCTCGTTTCCACATTCTTAACTTCTGCTTGATTGGGATATGGATGTAGCGTCAACATGGCCAATACGTGGGGAGACTACAGTGTATACTGAATTTCGTAAACCGTCTTAGTACATTAAGATAAAAAAAAAATGAATTGAAAAGAAAAATCGTGTAACGAAATGAGAGCCTATGCACCCCATGTTGATGTTCTTAAAATTCCCTCTCATTATCCAAAACGGCTTACGCGTTTTGGGTCACGTGGTAAGAAAAGGCCCAGAGAAGCATTGAGACCGAGAAGGCCTTGGCAGACGGTACTACAAGGACAGTACTACGATAGGCCACTTTCGATATATCAGAATTCATCATAAAAATGAGTTCTAGAGGGCAAAAACAAAAATAAGATAAGATAAGATAAGCTGCTTTAACAAGGGTTACACGTGACAGTAATTAAAATTACTGATAAATTTGTGGCCCTCTGAAAATAAATATGCCAATATGCCAATAAATAAATAAATATATAAATATTAAATGAATGAATAAATAAATAAAGGAATAAAGATGTTATTCAATTTTTTGTTTCAAGCGTCCCGAGACTCCCTATCAATTTGAATGTTATAATATTTGAAAGAGGCTTATTGTAGTAAAGAAAAGTCGAAATATTCATTTAGTTAAGCTCGCATGTTGACATTTTCAGAAGCGCAGGACGTGGCATAAAGTCAATTAAAATAATAAACAGCAATTAGATAAAAGCAAACATAAAATGGTTCTAAGAAAGAAACGAATAGCAACTCAACTCTGGGCAAAGTTGGTTTCTAAGAAATCCGAAGGTTTTGAGCCTTAGTCAACTTGTCGTACGTTGTTTCCTTAAATAGTTAAACCGCCACTTTGAAAGCTTTTATAAAATTAACTTCATCTGTTGTTTGGCTACGAAAGCAAATATTACTGCAGGTGTAATAACCTCTCTCAAATAAGCATGTGTTGCATTTATTAGGCTATGATGGACACTACCAGTCTTCCTCTAATATGACTTGAAGTATTAAAATTCATGGTTATTAATAAGACTGAAAATTTCACCTCAGTTTTTATCTTGCACTAAGTTCCTTTAAGAAGTTACGCACAATTCTAAATCCTGGCGATAATCGGTCAAAAACAGAGAAAAGAAGACAAGGAAATTAAAAATTTTTACCATAGCAGACTGTAAAGGAGTTCACTTTTCGACCGTAAGTGTTGATACGTCGTTATTCTACTGATTCTATCGTTACTTGTATAATTACTCGCCATATATTGTCGATTGATCTAGTTGAAAGGTTTCCTAGAAATAGAACAATAATTATTTTATGGGATCAGAAACCGAAACGTATTTTACTTCAAACTTTGTCTTTTTATCATTAACAGTAAGAAATCATTTGCATCAGTTGCGCAAACTGAAACTTTTTCTTTTACGAAAAGTAAGTAAACGTTGTAAGCTCATCGTGTATATGTAAAGAGACCACTGAATCTAATTTCTAACATATTAACTACACTCATGCCATAGCCATTTAGCCATATATGAGTTCTTTCAATTTCAATTTTTTTGTCGCGCGTGAGACGTGCGTGAATCGCAGAGCGACGCAGAAACACAAGCTGTGGCTTTTCAAGATATGCTTGGTGTCAGTAATGACGTCATCAAGCGACTAACTATGTCCGTTGTTTTGACTTCTTCACAGCCGTTTCGGCGATCAAGAAATGGTTCTGGCAATATATGTCGAACGTAGAAGTATTTTCTGATCATAAACAACTCAGGCAATTTAATTTGGTCCGGTGGCTGTATGTACAATTAAGAGCAAATTCGAGATAAAAGAACATTAGTTCAGGTGCATCTCACTTTGAATTCATGTTACACTGAGGCAAACCCACAATGGGTTGGTTCTTTCTCCGCCAATCGATCAGAGACTGGTTTCAGCTCCGTAGTCGATTGGCCGCGGAACTCGAGAGTTTAATTGGCATGCGAAGACAATAAAAAGAAAAAAAAGAAGAAGAAGAAGAAGAAGAAGAAGAAGAAGAAGAAGAAGAAGAAGAAGAAGAAGAAGAAGAAGAAGAAGAAGAAGAAGACCGGCAAGGCTTTCTTTGAGCACAACACAGAGTCTCACGAGGGTCTTGAGAGTAGTAGTTAATTCCATGGGAATTATATCGTGCAATGCCGATTCTCGGCAGAATTTTATATTTACATGCATTAGTGGATATTTTATCTTACCGCCACCTACACTTGATTACGTTTAACTTAAATCAACGTTTAGCATTTAAGGCTAAGTTGCTCCCTTCAAAAAGATTTCAACTATATCCGGGAGACTTGAATCCCAGCTGTAAGGCCCCCTTATATGGAGAAAATATGTAAGGAGAAAATGTGTCCCTAAGTAGAAGTATCATCCTTCAAGCCGAGTCTTCGTTTCAGGCTCTAGGCAGCCTACTGAATTGAGAAAGCGCGAACGAGAAAATAAAACGGGAGAAAACTGCCAACGTTTCGCGCACCTTTTACTTTCGCGTCTTCCCCACTATCTGAGAGCCTGCTGGAACAGGATAGCGTTTATATGAAGAAAACGTTGACCCCTTTGCTCGAGACAACAGCGCTCGCGCTTGTTCTGGTTGTCTATCCTACAGCGCGCGCACATTCTCTTATTTTCTCGCCTTGAACGGGAGAAAAGTTGGCCCGGCAATTGACCGGTGACCTAGCCGAACCAACATTTTGTTTCAGTCATATCAACGGTTCGCCACGTAGTTTTAAGTGAAAAGGTAAAGGGTGTCCCAAGCCAGTCTACTTCAATTAAGCGCTCTTAAGAGAACAGACGACTGACTAAAGCTGAAAAATTTTAAGTAATGCAAATTTTAGGTTAGCTGTCACAAAGGTCTTGCACGTATGTTTGGGTGGTGCGTGAATTAAACTTAAATATAAGTAGACATTTATATGCTTTTTACTAAAATCAAATGGAACTATTAAAGCTGTAACTTATACTTAGATTAAAATCCATGTTTACCGATGGTCTGTTGTGTACATTTTGCCACCTGTGATTATTATCTTGGAAAAATAAAAGTCACGTGACAGGCTAGAGCGGTCACCAAGAATAGTTCTGTCGTCGTTAAAGACATTTATTTTTTTGTTTCTTAAGCTAGGTCTCAGGAAACGCCGTGCAATTTGTGTTTCCCCTCCCAACTCGTAATTTACTAACCCCATGGTTCTTTTCTTTCTTCTCCTTGAACATTGGTCATTATTTGTAAATTCGGTTTTTTGTTTTATAACATTCTTTTTTCCTAGATAATAAAGTTACGTGAATAGAAGAGAAAGCAACACTCACTGTTGGATAAATAGTACATTTGGGGATGAACGAATGCAGTGTTTTCAATGATTCTTATGTGCTTTCTGAAACAGAAGAATACAGGATATGGTTTGCAAGTTATGTCACTGCAATAGTTTTCATTGTTTTATTAAACGCCTTTACACTCGCCACCTTTGCAAGTAACCACCAATTACGCAAACACAGTACGTACCTGATAATAAATCTGACTGTGGCTGATTTACTATTTGGAACAGCTGAAGGCCTGTTATTCATATTGGAACCAGCTATCCTTGAGAGGTACCTGCCATGTTCTACAGAAGAGTGGTTCAGCTGGCAAGAACTTATGTTACTGACTTTGTATTTCCTATTTCCGGTAGCCTCCTTAGTCTATATTTTATTGATTTCTTTAGAAAGGTTACACGCTACAATATATCCTTTCAAGCACTGCCTTATTGGAGGAAAGGTTTACTTTAGGATTATTGCCTTTAGTTGGTTGCTGGCTTTCCTTCTAGCCTTTGTGTTTGCTTTTCTTTTTTTGCGTTTGTCGTTTGTATTCCCATACGTATATACATCTTTCGCGTTCATCACCCTTCTAATTCTCGCAGTCTCTTATGTTAGGATTATTCTAAACGTCTAGAAACATCCTCACTCGGCACAGAATTTTGGCTCGTTACTTTCGGAGGAGAGAAAACTATCGCTAACTTTATTTATAATGACTGTGGCCTCGTTACTGACCATTCTTCCTGCCGTTTTTTGGGATGCCACAATAAACCACTTATCGCTAGATCAAGTTTCACCAACGATAGATGATCGTGTCCCTTATACTTTTGACGCATTATATTTATTCAGGCCTATCTTGAACCCCCTTATTTATGCTATAAGAATGTAGGAGTTCAGGAAAGCAGCTAAGAAAATTATCTGTAAGAAAAAATCAGAATCAATAGGGATCGAACCTGTTGAAAGTCTCGCTATGTAGCGGTCTGTCCTTCAACCAAAACGCTGTGCGTCTATTAGCCAAGTTAGCCGCTTTTGAGTATCATATTCTCGTTAGAATTTCTGTCCTTTGTCTAGTTCTTCTGCCAGCGAAATCCGCTGCATTCACTTGAGTCCCCACAATCCAATAACTGCCAGTTGATTGCCTCGTGTCAGTTCTGGAATCAGGAATCTTTGCTTGTGGAATCCAGAATAAATTTTTTCCCATGTCTGCTTGTGGGATCCAACGTCCTGGGCTTTGGAATCTGTAATGCAGCTTGAATTATCAGGGATCCTGCAAACGATTGGAATCCGGAATCCAAATTCCACTGACAAGGAATCCGGACTTCCGTTGCCTGGAATCCGGAAGCCACAGCGACCACAGTGTGGAATCCAGAATCCTGGTGGGCTGGATTACCTCTCATGGGGGCAAAGCTGACCTAGATAAATCAGGGGCAACCAACGAAGGTTTCCTTCTAAATACACTGAAAATTTTTTTAGGTTATCCAGAGTACTTTTATATCTCTAGAAATGTAATAAAAACGGCGCTATAAAATTTGTAACTGCTCGATCGGTCCGGCATCGTAAGGGGAACTTGAGTCTTTTTCGAAATTACAAGGGCTTCAGTATTATTTTCCGAAAATTTTAGTTGCAATTGTTGACATATTACGAAAGTGAGAATTTTTCTAATTCCTCTCTCCATCATATTTTTGAATCCGAAAATTTCAGGTTTCCTTTTTCTACGAAATGTAGTCTAAACTGGGGAATGAAGTGTAGAAAATGAAACTTCAGAAAATCGTAAAGAATTTATGACATTAGCATCAAAGATTGTACATGAATGGAAGGGTCAAGTAAAATTTGTTAGCCGTCTGCAGGTAACAGAAAATTTTAGGCAATATTTGCTTCTCCAGATAATTTAGAGAAAACAGTCGTTGGGTACCCCCGATACATAAGATTGTAGATGAAGGTACTTTGGTATTATTCAGCTACAGTCGAACCTTCCATAAGCGACCAAACAAAGTGCGAAGACTTTGTGGTGGTCGCTTTTCTAAGTAGAGGTCCCGAAACACCTACTTGGAAATGAGTTCATAGAGTGCAATTGCAAGTTACAATATATGTATAGTAGTTCCACGAGACAAAAGGTTAATAGATCGGTTGGTCCCTTATAAAAAGTGGTCATTTACGTGAGATTCCCTAGTTTTTCGGGTGGAGAGAGGCGAAGACCAGAAATATGTCTGCGTTCGCAGGCTGCAAAGCTAATCGAGTAGAAAAATTTGGGGGTTTTTAGGATAGGGGGCAACTTATACAAGGCGGTATCTTACAATATTGTCATACATATTTTTAAAGGCAGTCCTTACTTTCAAGTTTCTTCTGGAGTTGAAATCTGTTGATCAATATAGTTAGGTATATGTAAAAATAATAAAAAAAGTACATATAAATAAATAAATTCTACTCTCACTGCATGACAAGCTTCAAGTCATTGATAGAACTTACTTTAAACGGACTCGAACTAACTGCAGTGGTAATAAAGTAAGCACTTAGGAAACGTATCCCATATCATTGTCGTGTTGAGTAATAGAGCTCCGTGACAAGGCCCCTTTGGAGGATAACAGACGCAACTACCTTTCTTGTGTGCGTAGAACATATTGAGAGGCACTTCAAAGAAAATCAGTAGTGTGTATTAGTCCATAAAAAGAAAACTCTAAGTCAGAGTAAAAATGTAAAATTACAATAAAGTAAACAACAACTTACCTTGTTTGTTTGTTTTTGTGGGTGGGGGGGGGGGGGGGCGGGGGTTGTTTTTATGATACAGGGATACCTTAGTGGAGATGGAATGAACTCTTTTCAGAATGCAAGTCATTCCGGTATCATTGGAATAGCCCCTTTCTTGCTGTTGCTGCGGATGTTGATGATTTTTTGTGTTGTTTGTTTTACGAACGAAGCCCATGTCGGAGGGTATTTGCCACGTGATTATCGAAGACTCACGTGACTTAATGTCGCCGGAGCCTGACATTGTGGACCTTAACGGGGTATTCGGGGCCAAATACGGGGGGACTTACCAAGCCCCCGTAGGGTTTGCCTAAAGAACTAAAACCCGGAATCCGGAACGGAGGCCCAAGCCGAAGGACTCTGAAGTTTAGTGATAAGAGTCAGGAAACTGGTGCAAACTGAACTGAAACTTGATTCACTCAGTCTCCTAACCCGAATCACTGAATGTTGTTTCGTTGTTGGATTGGCATTTCGTCGCATCCTTCTTATTTGTAAGGACATAAGCCTCATTCTCTGAATAAAACTCCTTTTACTTCGCGAAAATATGGCGAGAATAATCACAAGAGAAATCATTACAAGTGCTTTGTCCGCCGCCATTTTGATTATGGAGCGTTTCTGCAATTTGAATCCTCTGAGTTGGTGGCTTAGATTGCAAATTAAATTACACAGTGAAAACAGTTGCCACGTGTAACTAGTAAAAGTTGCCTTTGTAACCAAAACCCTACAAAGAATGTTCAACTGGTAAATCGGCCAAGTGAAAACACAGCATATGTGTCAATCACAACTTTGTGTTAACAAACATGTCTCCTAAGCGTTATATCAAACATCACAGACCACAACAATGAATTAATTTCGAAAACTGTTAGGATAGCAAGTTTGGAGGGTTTTTTGCAGGTTGCAGGTAATTTGTGATGTGGCACAAGGTCACTTCAATAATACTTTCAAGAAAGTACACTTCCAAAAAGAAAAAGTAAAAAGGACATAATAATCTCTGAAGAGCAATACACAAAACAAAGTCTCATATCAGTCTCATATTAGTTTAATAGCAAAAAGAAACCAAAAACGGCCAGTTCATGTACCGTTCGATGAAATCCATGTTGGATCCACGCGTGGCATGGGTAGCCAGCATGTAGAGAGTGGATCATTAACCACCACCGGGAAATTTCAACATCCGGTTTTCATACCATTCATTATTACTATGTGTGAAGCGACAAAAACATGATCTCGAATTCCGACTGCCGTTGAGAAATTCTGATCTATAGTGCAGTGAGGTACTATAGCCTGTCATTACACTGTACATTCAAAACTTACCTCTTGTCAAAAAAGGGCTGCGAAATCTACCATAACCCTCCAAAGAATTTTAAGACCTTCCTTCTTGAGTCGAAAGGTCTAAGACTCTTCAAATTCTGACCTGCAACCTGCAAACTGCAAATTACACCCTCCTTAACAAGTTTAAAAAATCACAATTGCAATCTTTCTAAATCTTCTTTAAGTTTGTCCAATGCATCCGTTCCTCATTACAGGGCTGTCAAAAAGTATTTAATTAGCAGGCTGACAATGAATACTAGGCGGCTTTGGAACTTGCACAAGTTCTTGAGTGCCGAAATGGCGTTTCCAGGGGTTTTCTAGAGGTATTTTCCACCGCGGATGCTATGTTGTTTGAACGGAATGCACACAAGACGTTGAACAATGCTGTCGAAATGTCCCAGGCGTTCCAGGACATCACACGGTTCGAACATTTCACAGATCTAAACCTTTAAATATATGCATTCAATGTCATTCAAAACTGGGAAGCGGATGCTTTACAATTTTTTTCGATGGCGCTTATTTTCTGTTAGCAGTTATGGTAGAAGGAGATGAAAGTAGCCGGCGGTTTTGGTCGGCTACCGGCCCTTATTGACAGCCCTGCATTATGTATTTCCTTTTATTTTCACTAAGATAACATTTTCTTAAATTTCCACCATTCAATCTGATTAAGGATCGCCCAAAATCCTGAAATCGGTTAAATCTTTTCTGCTGAAAAACGCGATTCAAAAACATAACCAACACTCTTACGCAATATAAAGAACATTAAGAACAATAACGGTCTTAAGACCGTTCCCTGGGGAACACGGATGTCATGACTACAGGAGCAGATGATGCCCCCCTCCCTCAATTACTACTGATTGGGTACGTTGTGTTAGAAACGATTCGAACCAGTTAAATAGTGAGCCACGGATTCCGTAATAATCAAGTCTCGTCAAAAGTCGGCGATGAGGAACTTTGTTAAATGCTGTTGAAAAGTCAAGGATTGCGGTCTGAATTGTTTTGTTAGACTGATTAACACTTGCTATGTCATGAATTGTATATACGAGCTGTGTTTGTGTTGATCTTTTCGGCCTAAATCCATTTTGGTAATCAGTGAGCACTCCATTGCGACAGGTTTTTCATAACATGGCTGTGCACAATATGCTCAAGTGATTTTGAAGCAATACAAGTAAGTCATAAGGGCCTATATATAGTTTGATGGAGCCAATTTGTTTCCTTTCTTGTTAATGGCACATACGTACGTTGGCGTGTTTCCATTGGCTGGGCACAGTTCCGGTACTGATACAGTCTTGATAGATATCACTAAGAACATTTGATATTTCCTGGGCATTCTCCTTTAAAAACAAGTGGATGGGGGAATTTCCATCTGGGTCATTAGCTTTGTCTGCCTTCAACCCACAGTAACACTTCATTTCTAACTTAAAGGATGCAAAGACAAAATTTCTGAAACATTGATCATGCGATCTTGGGTATGGGTTAACTGAATGTAACGGAAAAAAGAAAGAACGGATATGTGATAACAGAAATGTGAAGGAAACATGATCGTCAAACACGGCGGAAACGTGTCGCGTCCATGGAAAACTAGATCACCATGTTTCCGCAGAGCGGAAATGTGACGGGTATAAGCAACTCTATGTTTCCGTCGAGTTTACAAAGTACTGATCGCCGGAATGTTAAATGATCAGTCTCTGAAAATCAATGCGCATGCGATATCTCTCGTTTCGCATCCTTTACCCTCTAGTCTGCTCGACAGCCGTTCTTTTGTGGGGAGTAGCGTTGCGTGACAACTCAATAAAGAACGGCTGTGAAGTAGGCTATTCAGCCTCGGAACTAAGTGTGAATTGTATTGACTCGAAACTAGCCTGTTGTCTGCTAAACATACTAAGGGCCTCTCCACATAAGCGCGGTTGACCGGGCTGACCCGGTTTCCGAGATCTCGCCTTTTTTTCTACATCCTTTGCAAACTTTTCGATGTGTTCACTTATGAGAGGGCGGGCTGGCTCGGTTTGTGAGATCTTGGTTTTCCAACGGGGACTCTCTTCCTAAGCGGGCTGGAAAACTGTGCCATTATGAACACTTCAGCCCGGTTATCGGGATGAATTCTTCTGCAACAGCGCAGCCCTGATGGCATCGTCTTGCTTTTCCTGCTGTATTTTCCATTAGCATCCATTTAACCGACAGTGATACAGCTATGAGAGTTGACAAAACTATGTTAGGCGCGAAAGTTACTTTCAATCTTTATCGCGATTATTTTGTCTATTAGACGAACTATGCTGCAGTTCATGAATTCAGTGGATTGCTAAGAACTGCCTCTAAGTTCTGAAAGAGGAGGAAAATTTCGTCTTCGCTTGTTTACGTTCTCCGTAGAATGTGAAATAACAGTAGGCATTTTCACTTCCTAGTCGTGCAGTGTGCGGTAAAGCTAATTAGGCTACGTTCACACGGCACCAGGACAAATTTTCGGCTGGCTGGAAAATTCGTTCACACGGAACCTTTCAATACGTTCGCTTTGTTCACGCGAACTTTGAACGGCTAGGTGCCTAAATCCTCGTACGGTTAAGGTGCGTATGTGTGAATGTTGAAGTTAATTTTCAGTTATCTCAGGTAATTTTTATTTTTCCTTTGTTTCCACTTCATTAGCATACATTACCAAACCCAAAAACAGAAGAAAAACAAAAATTACCTGAGATAAAAAATTAAGTAAAACATGAACACGGAACACCTGAAGGCAGGAATTTTCAATCAGTCGAAAATTCCGGCCCGGTGTCATGTGAACTTACGTATCCTTAATCTATTGCTTTTTTGACGTTGGTTCTCGTTGCCGTCGCCGTCAATAGAGAGCTTAAGCAACGACGACGGCAACGGAAACGAGAACTTCAAAAAAAACAATAGGTTTGATTAGCAAAACAATAACTTTGAACGTACAGCACACTTTTTTGTGCACCTTTCTGCCGTCACTGCACGACTACGGCGTAAAAATCCCTAATTCACCTTTTATGGAGGACGTAATAAACAAGCAACAACGAATTTTTCTTTCCCTTTCAAAACTTGAGTGTGGTCCCCAAGAAATCAACTCCAGGGAAATTTGACATTTTCAGCCATTTGGAATAAGCGCGACAAAGTTTGAAAAAACGCGAATTCATTCTAAAAGTGACGTTTTCGCTGCCTTCGCCGTCGTCGATGCTAAAACTCTCAATTATCACTGCTATAATACTTGCCTCTAAAATATTTTGTTTAGGTGAACACAAATGGAGTCATTTCATTCTCAGCGCCAGTGAGTAAATTCACCCCAGATCGTTTCCCCCTTAGAGATAAGCGGGGCCTTATTGCCCCCTTTTGGGGCGATGTGGACACCAGAAATGGAGGAGTTGTGTTCTACAGAGAAAGTAGATACGGCCTTGTTACAGAGAGCGACTCGAGACATTCGCCGGGCGTTTAGCGCAACTTGGATTTTTATAGCCACCTGGGACAGTGTCGCATTTTATGGATCTAGAGGGGACATGCGACATAAGGTAACAATAGATAACAATAGGTGGACGCTAATTCAAACAGTATATACTAAAACAGTGGATAGTGTTTTTCACGAGCTCTGATTGGCTAGTCAAACTCGGAATATCCAGTGCTATTCACTGATTCACCTCCAGCTCCTTCGAACGAGCGACGCATTACGAGACGATCAAAATGGCTTCCCGGTTTGCTGCCGTAACAAACAAAGAAATTTCGGAAATAATTAAACAAGGTGTTCCCGAAATACACTGCCCCCGCCCCCCATAAGTTTGCTAATGGTCCGTCCCTAAGAAGGTGACGAAATTCGATTTGGATATTTTAACAGGTAAAGCTTTGCCTGTTTGACTTGAATTTATAAATAAAACCGGTAAAAAGTTTCTTGTTCAAAAATGCAAATTAAAATCTTGCGTCAATTTTTTTAGCTGACATGTTCATAAATAAGCTTAACATAAATGCGGATATTACTTTTTCGCCACGGGCAGATAGACGTTAAGTGGCTCAGTTATTATTTGTGTAAATTTGCTACTTTCCCTACGGCCAAAAGTCATTTCCAATTTAAATGGAAGGCTTTTTTTTGTGCATCCCCTATGAGCAGCTAGTTCTCTGTCTGCTATGTTTTAAACCGGGAGTGCAGCGAAAAATGAAAATCATTTTTATTATGTTATATAACACCTTTCAAGCGATATTGGTCTCAGGTCGATTCTAAACCTTTGTTATATTTAATTACAATCAGATTATGTGGACAACAGGGACATCCAGCCGAGGAAGTAGCAAAGGTTTAGGTGGCACGCCTGCTCAGGTGAGAGACCAGCCTGTGGGATGGATCGCGCACGAAAGCCTCATTCCACGGGCGCTGTTTTGTTGTCATTGTGTTGATTCAGTAAGCCGTGAAAAGAGTACACATAGGCTAGTTAACAATGTAATTTGTACAATTTCCTCGAAATGGTTATTCCTTGCGAGGCCCAGGCTTATAAATTTGTGGAGCGTGGATCGTAGTACCCGCGCCAGCAAACTGGAGTGGCCCATATTTTTTATGTATATATCTCTTGGTGTCTGCATGACGTCATCTAGCCACAAACTTTGTCCGTTATTTTGACTGCTTTTGCGGTCGTTTTGGCGATAAATTTCGACGTCAAAAGTATTTGAAAGAGAACATTAAGCACTTGGATCAACCGTTTCAAAATAAGAACGAAAATCGAGGTAAAAGAACATTTGCCCGGTGCGACTCACTGACGAGCTAACCTAGTTCAGGCATGTTTGTCGGAAGGCAGCGTTTCAGCTTGGCTTTTTACCTGCAAACTTTATTTTTTTTCCGGGAATCTACTTTTAAATTCATGTTACTCTGAGACAAATCCACAATTACTTTGCGCTTGTAATGCTGATGGATCAAAAACTGGCTTCAGTTCTGTACATCGATCGGCCGTTGAACCCGCGTTGATTTTCGTTTTTCGTTTTTCTTCTTTTTCTTTCATTTTCATTTTTTTTTTCTATCCGGCGACCGAAAAATTGCTAATATGCTTTGTAATACACATTTAGTAATGCAAGTTGGAAAATGAGGCATGCAAAAAAAAAAAAAAAAAAAAAAAAAAAAAAAACAATAGATTAAGAAGTAGGAGTCCTCGAGACGTCGACGCCAAACCGTCCAGCAGGGAGTAACTGAACCTCGTGAGGGTTTGCGAGACACATATTAAGTGTGTTTCAGTACAGCCTTTATTCGCGAAAACCCTGATTTCACTAAAATCTATCGTTAAACCGAGGAAAACACACATGAATTAGTTCTTCCTCGGCTATGGATCAAAGAGTGGTTTATCATATCATCCGTTTTGGGGGTGGGGAGAGGGAACGGATGACGTTGCAGATGAAGAATGGTTTCAGCTCGGTATCGATCGGTTCTTAAATTCGAGGGGAATTTGTAATAGAACTTGCCTTTTTTTTTCCATTCGGCCAGCTGAATAATGTTAAATATGACTAGCAATAGGCATACAAGAATCAAATATAAGAAAAGAAGAAGCATAGAGTAAAATGGAGGAATTCTCACGACAGGACATTCGCGGCTAGTCACCAGTTTCTAACCGCGACCGGCACTGGTCTCGACTTGAACACTGAGTTTTGCGAGGGTGTATGCGATATACTTATGTAGAAGTAGAATGCAATTGTCGAACCCACTAAACCTCGATTTGACGATACAAGCTCTAGTGGAACCCACTCCTGTTTGTTAAGGCTTAGCGTAACAACTACTTTAGTTAATGTGCTTTTCCTTCAAATAAGGACATTTCACGAGACCTTGCGAAAATTTCCCGATCCTTGAATTCATTTCATCAGTCCGGGCCACAACCAGATCTGGATATATAATGACGTCACCCACATTTGCAAAATGGCGCTCACGCCAAGAAACACGAGGGAAGGTCACTTCCAGGCTCTATTTTGCACCTAGAAGTGTCTTTTCCCCATACTACTTTGAGAACTGTGACTTAAGACTTTGAGAAATCAGGGGTGTCGAGAAAAAATGCCGTCCGATCAACGTTTGTACGTTCTTGGAAGGTAAAACGACCGAGCATGAGAGAGTTTGTCAGCTCAAAGAAATGCTGGACAAGGCGCAACACATCTAAAAAAAGAAGGTGAGTTTCATTTTTCTGATCCTCGAAAAAAAATTTCTTGAAATCTGCATAAAATTTGCTTATTGATGGTGGTCTTTTTGGTGTAGTGCATAGCGAATTCAAATAGTGCTTTGCTTTGGAAGATGCAACGGTCAGTTGCGCCGTTAACGTGCTGGTTTTCATTGTAACGCCATGTTTATTTTATGTTTTCTTGCAGTCGGATGGAAAAGTAAAAGCACCTTGTTTTTGTGGCAGAAAGATGCTGCCGGTTTGTTCGTGGAGAACCGTAACCTTGGTCTTGCCTGATCACAAAGTGGCAATAACAAAACAGTTCAAACACTGTTAAGCTTATTCAAAAGCTATTATCAAGGAAGGGAATACGCGCTCTAGTCAGAAAACTCGCATTTATAGAAAAACACCAAGCTGGAGTCTACTGAGTCACAATGCATTTCTCCCAGCCTAGTCCCTAGGCGTTCTCTCTTGCCCCGTTGTCCGCGCGAAGTCTGGGAAAGAGCGGGCGAGAGAACGCCTAGCCAATATTGGCAAAATACCCCTGATTTTAGAGCAATTTTACCCCTGGTCACATTTTACGGGTTTCTACAGCTCCATTTTGGAAAAACTGCACGACGATAGTATGGATGTGTCGGTTGAAGTGTCTGCAAACAGTGGTAAGTTCTAACTTTGTAGCATATCATTTTTTCTGGTTAATATTTTGTTCGTCGTAGTGGATTATTTGCGGTCAAAGATTCTCCTATTTTGCGACTCAAGCTAAAAATCTCCTAGACCCAAAAGAACGATGCACATTTTCACCAAAACCTTACATATACATTTTTTTCGACGCAGAGTGGGAGTAAGATAGCGGGGAAAGCGATTTGGAGCTTACAAGTCATCCATTGTGTGCTCACCGGAAAGGTATTCGATTTTTGTTTATCTATAAGTGATTGTATTTTAATTTTATATCCACGAAAGTATCTCGGTGTTGATTTATTTAGCAACATTTTAATAATTTTCAGGAAGTTCCCCTCGTCGTAATCCTTTTTGCCCTGTCAGAACACCAAAGAAGCTGAAAGAAGGCATCGATGTAGCTAGGTACTACTGCATGCCATATCAAATCTTCAAATTTATTTTGCTTACCATATATTAATCTTAACTATTACTTTATTTTTTTTGAAAGAGGTGGATAAAGGAGTTGTAGGCAAAGGAAAGAATAAGACCTGTAGGGCACACCTGTCCACTTTAATTTGACTGTTGTGTAAGGTGATGATAATAAGCTTATTTCTAGTGCCTTCATACTTAATTTATTTTGCAGGATGTTCTCCTCATTCAAAAGTTACCTGCCATGGAAAACGGATGTTTCCATACAGTCCTTCAGCAAAGACAAACCAGCAAAAGAGGTTAAAGGAAATAGGTACATCTACAACTGTACAATGTATTTACCATTGTTACCCTATTTAATTGCATAAATTATTGAATGAGGTTGAGTACGACGTGAAAGATTATCCAGATTGAATAGAATGATGCCCACCTCAGATCAGCACAATTCTGCACATCATATAAAAACCAAAAACTTTTGCCTTTCCCAGCACAGTTCCAGGATATCTGAAGGTGTTTTTTCTTGCATGTACTTCACAAAAAGTAGATAATATTCATCCAGAAACATGATTTGCATGTTCTTGCATTCTATCCTGTTTTCGTCAGAAAATTTAGCTGTTTCATCTTGGTATAGATGTAAATGCACATATTTAGTTCACTCAATATTGCCGGAGCAGCCTTGTTGCTGGGCAAATATACCATGTACTAACCTTGCTTCTAAAACCATATATCATGGGATCAAGGGTATATTGCTTGCATCCTCCAAATATGAAGAGTTCCTGTTGGTTATGAATTAGCTGGGGGCTTGAGGCAGTTGAAAATGGCTACATGTTTTGAATGAACAACAATAATTGACATATTTATTTATTTTCGAAAGTTTGCCTTGTGCCCATCCTCTTTATCTCTGTACTACAACTTAAGCTTAATTGATTTCTGACTTTGTATTTTTGAAGATCTGGAGAAGTGAGTTGTAGCCACTGGAAATAAAATGACCTTTAGGGTAAACCTGAAGCCATTTAAAGTTTGTCTGATGTGTATTTAATGATTTTGCATGATATTCTTCTTGTCCTTCTTTTATATGTTCTGTAAAAAAGGTCACAAGGACATTGCCAAACAGTCCATCAGACTGGAAAAATAGGTACAACTGTGCAATTATGTATTCATTTATATCAGTTTTTTTACCACTGAGGCTAATTCCAACAAATATGATAATAATTTCTTATCCAATCTTTCAGCTGATTATTGTATACCTGGGAATGTAATTCTTACTTTAATTAAATTAAATAGTTATATTTGCCTATTTGAGAAATTCCAACTATTTCATTATTGTTACACAGCAATTTTAAACTAGGCAACCTTAACAGCATATTATAGCCTCATTATAAATCTGCCAGTATTTCATTTTTTGATCCCAGTGGGTTTTACATTGGGACAGGCAGAAAAAGAGGGGAAAGGTGGGCTTAAGGTCTCGGTAAAGGAAAACGAGGAGCCCACAGAAAAAAATTCTAGTCGCGCGAGTATTTTCGCTAAAAAGGCAAGTTATATATCAAATTAAAGCTAAAAGACTAAATTACCTTATAAAAGATTTTATTTCATCGAATTTTAAAAAGGCGCTTAAGTTTTTTGCTCTCGAACTCAGAGGTATCGAGGTTACTGCTGAAGCTCCAGCCCTTTCGCGTTGTTAAATATTCACTTCCTTTTTAATGCGTCTGATTGACAGATAAAAGACCTAAAAAAGAGTGTGAGGAAATTTGCATATGTCTCGTATTAGCGGAATTATTGCATTTCAAACTAAAAAGTCGAATCTCGAGTGCGATTTACGCAAAGAAACTGACATAAAATGAGTTACAAAGGGAAATCGGAAAATTCCTCACACCCTTTTTGAGTCTATATCATTATCCATCATATCTGAAAGTTTCAAAGCGATAGCTTAAAACCTGTCCCGACTGGAGGTCGGAGAATTTTGATTTTTGCGTCTAAAATAGAGTGAGAGAAAATCAGCTCTAAAGATTTAGCGCGGGGTCCACGCTTGGCTGGTTAGCTCAGAAAAGGCTCATTTTAGAAGGGTTAAAAAGCACTTTCTGGCTTTCTTTTTCTGTCAAAATAAAATTTAGGACCCACTCATGCCAAAAATCCAAAAAAAACAAAATCGAGCAATGTACTAAAATTTTCATTTACCGAGACCTTAATGCCCGGGGTGTGGTGCATATTATTTAATTTATTGCCGGCACAAAGTACAAATACAATAAGATAGCATTTATAGATCTGCAAAATAAAAATATTTTCTTAATAGGGTCCTACATTCGCACTAAAATTCATGTTGTCCATGCATCCTTAATCAAATAAAAACGTATTATTGTAAAGCGATCATGTTATAATTTCACTCTTTAGATGGAAATATTTTTTTATTTTATGCAAATGGTTTCAATTTTCTAATCATGAGCCACATTTGTATGTACCCTTTAACACGGCTAATTTTCTACCTGGTTCAAATGTTTTTTGTTTTTAATTTATTAAATTTCAGGTATTTTAATGAGAAACTTACTGGGGAAAAAAGAATAAAGGAACCAAACTCTGGTGGCATGGCACAAGAAAAGAAGCCTGCAGGGAGAGAGAGAGAAGGGAAGAAAAGAAGAACTTCTGCCCAAGTTCATGATTCTTTCAATTCAAATATGCAATGCCAAATAAAGTATTTTTTTAAGTGCTTTACATTGTGATATCTGTTTTTCCTAAAATGGAGTTTGTTTGTCAACTGAACAATAGCTCTATAAGCACACAACAGTTCAATAACTATACCAGTCGGGTTTACACAGTATCTTTTACATCTTCAATGGTAAAACACCGAAAATCGAGTTTTTTCTTTATCAAACATAAACTTAAGCTTAATTTACTATATACAAATATAGCTGTCAAAAATTTAAGTGCGGTATCGAGACACCCATCTGGGCCCCCAATATCTGTAATTCGTGAGAAATGAAAGAAAGATGTGCTGTTTTTTCTGCTTGAAACCGTCACTTTAGTAAAACATATACATATATTACGAAGTGAATCAAGACCCCCAACACCTACTGTACTTTTTTGTGTTTATTTACTAATTTTTTTCTGGAGAGACACTTTTGATGCGTCGTTTTAAAAAATTAGCGAGTGCTTGAAAATGTCCAGAAATGCCGTAATGAAGCATATGTTTACAATATACAGGTTTGCCTTGTTTCCTCTTTCGACGACAGTCCGTAACCTCGGCTCCTCCATCGTCCAGAGATACATTGGTACCTGTTGCTGCGCGTGAAAGTCCACTTAAGTTGAACAAACCTTGGTTTCGCGGATCCTTTTTCAAGAAACCGAAACTTTGTTTTTCGCTGTGGCATGCACATAGAAACTCTTCCTGTTCAAAGGACGGATTTTCAGCTACCTTCGGCTGAAGTTGTAGTAACCTGACGAAACGGGCGCCATATTTGATCTGGCAATATTGGTTAGGCGTTCTCGGCGTGTATCTCTCGGTGACGTCACAGCTCACGGTAGAGTCCAGGATTGACCGATCGGAGAACGCCTAGGGACTAGGCTGCATTTCTCCATAGTTGATGCAGCTTCAGTTGAAGCTGCACTTAATTCTTATAATTTTGTATCTGTAAATCACTATCCGTAATAATCTAAGATCCTGCAAAGAAAATTCATGAGCTGGGCCCAGCGTGATACAACATTGCAATAAAAACAACATTTTTATTCATTTTCACGGACTAACAAAAATCGCTCTCAATTAGTTATTCAGATCCAGAAGGTACTTTGGAGAAAATTAGAACCCTTTATTCAGCCGAAATAAAATGCTTTACGCTTCAAAAACTGAGGTCACAGAAAATGCTCTTGCATTAGAGGGAAAATCCTTCAGACCGGATACAAAAACCACTGTAAATCGATATGTGTGTCATGACCTCTCCGCAGTGTGAAACAAGCGGCTAAAATCACAATTGCTCAGTGAAAATGTGCAGCCTTGCAGATCATAATCTACCCAGCAGAGGAAAAAACCTTAATTGGAACGAGCAGCAATTTGGCATGAGGTGAAAGTCGTGTAGGCCTACCACCCCACTTTATTGCTATTAGAACACGATAAAGTCCACCTCTGAAGTGGTGAATGGTATTTTAATATTTTCGTCCGCAAAGAGGTTTTGCAACACGAAAAGACAGACATTGATTAATGCTTGTTTACGACCTTTCGTGAGTGCAATTTACAGAAATTTTATTTATTTTTTTACCTTCGCATATTAATCCAAGATGTTTGACCGATTGAAATATTGATTCCTTCGATCGCAATTAGATTTTAGCGCGTAGGGTATTGCTCCCGAAGAAGTATAGAACACACAACTCTAGGCCGAAGCGGTGCTCGCAAAAAATACTCCAAACACGACTTCTTCATACCTTTCCACTTAAAATGTATCAGTATTTCAAGTATTCAAATTCCCTACTCTTCCCTTTCGATCGGTGTCGTCGAGTTGCTTCGGTTCTCTTGATATCAGAAGTCCAGACGTTTTTACAGAAACCTTCCTCGATCATTATCATCTTCATATTTGTAAATCGAACGCTAAGACGCATAAAATCATCTCGATTAATCGGTTTGGTATTACATGCTGTTACTTTTCTTCAAGGAACATCCCAGCCATAGCACTCTTTGCTTCGACATTTCTGTCGAACTTAGTCCTTTTGCGGTCTGGACCAATCACATTTCAGGAAATTACATATCCAGATCTGGTTGTGGCGCAGACTGTTCATTATTTAGTCTTTTTCCCGTGCCACATAACAAAGACTTTTAATCCCCCGGACTCACCATCTTCTTTTTAAACATGTCTAAAGAATGATATTAAGCACGTTTGTTCTGTCGTAATTCGTAATAATTTTGACGTAATTTGTAATACCTGTCGCAGTTTGTAAGAGCTTTGTTATAATTTGATAAAAAAGCAGTCACAATTTGTAATAAAAGCCAAGCTGACGTAATTTGTAATGAATGTTTTCGTGATTTGTAATAATGATAAGACTTGTTTTTTGAGGGGCCTTTGATCGTTAAGGGGACAGTGCAAGGTTGATCTGAAAGGACACAATGATTTCAGCTTGTTTTGAAATGAAAATTTTGCGTGAAAAACGAGAGTAATCTGAGCAAGTGATCTCACAGTAGTGCAAAATTTTAGTGCAAGTTTACAAAAATGATCAGTCATTCGGACCACCTTTCAAGTTCTTTTTGTCTATTTGTCTGCATTAAGTTCAGCCTACAGTTTATGCATAATTTAATCCCTTTTTGTGGAAATTCCAAGATCAGATGTCTCGAAATTCTTGTTATAGATTTTTGCGGAACTTCGCGCAACAGAAGACAAGCAACCAATGTATAGGTAGGGTAACGCATTTCCAAAGAAAATGACGATAAGGGCAGAAATTCGATTAAGAACTAAAACTATTGCGACGTCATTGTCCAGTGACATTTATTCTGATCGCCCAAAAAATGATATCGTAATAAGGTTTTGTCTATATGCAATGCATGTGTTATAACACTTTTAAAACAGAGACTAATTTGTTGAAGTATGAGAGATTGAAAGATGGAAGGTGTCGCGACAAAAATACTGGGTCGAGCCACCTTAATTGACCACTCCAGAAAATACCATAACATACCATAATGCTCTTTGTTTGTCACCACCAAATTTTGCATACGTAAGCATTGTCTTCAGTTTCTCTTGGGAGTAAAAATAGCCCCAAGAGAAACTGAAAACAATGCTTATGCAAAATTTTGGGGTGACAAACAAAGAGCATCATGGTATGTTATGGTAGTTTCTGGAGTGGTCAATTATAGTTCTGCCCGTTTTACTATAGGCCGGCTTGAACGCTGGAGATGGGATCAGATTCTTCGAGATTAAAGCTCAAGAACAGGTGCTATTGTCAATCTTCCATCCATTTCAAACGTGGCTGTTCAGGGACAGTGGATTTTCAAAACTGGTAGGCAATCCAAGGTTTTCCGCCTTATCGCGGGCTGCAGGGTATACTATTAGTTTAAATAAATAGCTTAAGGGTCTATTAATTACTCTGTTGATAAAGCCCCATCTTCTTCGGCCAAACCTCTTTTTTTCACATGTTAATGCTTTTTAAAAGGTGCCTTCATAAACCTGGGCGCAACATCGACGGTTTGTTTTGATCCTGAAAACATCCAGTATATGTCATCCGTCATCCGTCAGTGAATAATTTTAATTTCATTTTCAACTTTTAACGTTATAACTGAGGATACTGTGGTGGTAAGTTAAGTTGTTAATGGCGAAGTAGTTTATACTCAAACTTCAAGGGAGGTATTGACCCTGAAAAACCCTATCGAGCCACCTTGATATTGTAACTAAGACTAAAATGAAATTAGAAATATACAAAGTTATCAAGATCCTTATTGTAGTTCATAGAGGTTCCTTTAATCCTCGGACGTACAAGCAAAGTCGCACCCCCCCCCCCCCCCACTGTAGTACAAGGGGGAGGGGGGGGTGGATGGAGCCCCCCCCTGGCGTTTTTGATGTGTTGCCGTAATTCGAAACCATTTTACCTTTAGTAGAAAGCCTTTGATCTTCTTAACAAGATGAGATATATTTTATGGGTGATGGTGCAGCTTTAAAAGTATCAATGTTGTCACATTCTTAAGCCGAGTTATCAGGAACCTGGGTCATGGGCTCCTGGTTTTATCTATTCAGTTCCAGACAACAGGACCCCTAAATAGAAGACTGTCTGTGCCTAGATTTTCTACGTACTTCCATCAACGTCCCGTTGCATCTTGAGTCCATGATTTTCACATGTTGAGACAGCCTATTTAGCATGTATTTTTCCTTAAACATATTAATAGCTAATCTTCGTTTATAAATATATACCCGAGATTTTGCCATTGAAGGTGATGTAAGATGTCACACTCCATGATATTCGAATTATTTTGACCGCTTTTAGATACAGTCCTTCAATTTCGGAAAATTTAACAGTAGAACAGCTTCCCCACACAGATAAAGGAGAAAGTGGCATAGTTTTGAAATATATCCCGTCCAAACGTGGGATGGTAGATGCCGCATTCTCTTAAGCAAACAAATTTGATTATCATATGATTTGCATATTTTATGTACTTAATCTTTCCAAAGCAGTCTGTTAACAATGCCACGCCCAAAGATTTGAATATGTGAATTCAATTACAGTGTTTCCACATTGAACGAAATTAGGGGCCCAAAGAAATTATTTCTCTGCAAAATCATCACTTTGAAGAGTCAACTTGTTTAAATTGCACCACCTACAGGTCTCTGGAAATAGCAAATTTACTTTCCGCACAACTTCATCAGTGCTATCACCAATGACAAAAGCTGTAATGTCGTCAGCATACAGATGCAATTCACCTTGTGATATTGATTAAGAAAAGTCATTAAGGTAAATTGAAAAGATCCTGGGACCCACAAGGGAAAGTTGAGGAACCCATATTCAACATTGCGTAGATCTGATTTGGTAGCACTGATTTTTACAAACTGAAGGCGATTTGTTAAATAACTTAGTAATCACTGCCACA